CTCCGAGATCCTCTGTGGGCTGAGTGTGGTTGTGCTCCTGCTGGCAGCTGAGAATGGTCTGGCCAGGTTGGACAGGGCTGTGAGCAACCTGATCCAGTTGAAGGTGTCCCTGCTCACTGCAGGGGGGTTGGACTAGGTGACTTTTAACGGTCCCTTCCAACCCAGACCATTCTATGATTCTATAGCACGCACAGCAAAGTGTGACCCTTCCTAGACTCCACGCTGAAATCTGGCTGGAAGCAAGAGCCATTATTAACTCTGGTGCTCTGGCCCTGCTCTGCTTGGGAATCAGAGGGTGGTGTTCAAAGCTCAGCAGGTCTCTGGGAGGAAATCCCTGCCGGGCACTTCCTCCCTGACATGCGTTGCTCTGATCTCTTCCACTGAGATAGGCTTCCCTCAGCGTAATGCAGCATTGACTGTGGGATTTACATGAGGAGCCTAAAGTGCCATTTAAAGGCTGCCACATCCCCCTCCACCTCGAAGCACCCGCTTTTGTACACCCCTTGCAAACACCATCTGAGAGAGAGAGCCAGAGAGCCTTTAGACTTACCTTTGTTTTAACCTCCTAGCAAAGCAAAGATCTGTTCCCTCTTTCTCCCTGGGTTACCAGCACAATAATAAGCCCCACAGAATTAGCAACTCAAAGGTTTCACTCTGAATGCATCACAGCTGTGGAAAATATATACCCCAGCCTGCTGGGCTGATGACTTCCAACTGTATCCAGAACAATCAGTTCTGTAATTCCCACTCATGACTGGTTCCTAGCACCAGCCTTAGCAGGAAACAACCCCAAAATTGAAGCTTGAGTTCCTATGACATAAAAATGTGAGGTGGGGAGTATCTGAATGTTCTTGACATGCCCTCAAGGAGCCAGGTGGGCACAGTGTGCAGGAGTCAGTAGTACAGCACAAGTTGGACACAAAAGGACAAGACCTCCTCCCTTCTCCTTCCAGCTTTCTTAAATGGCCCAGGATGTTCTCCCTGTCAAAGATTTCTCCTGTTGTTGTAGCCAGAAATGGCTATGAAATGTTAACTCTGCTGCAATCCCTTCAGTGCAATGCTGGTGCTGCCTCTCCCCTCCATCTATCTCCTTTTGTGGAGTAACGCTTTGCCAAACTAAGCTACAGCTGATTCATTAGCTGTTTTCAACATCAAAGCCAGCATCAAGTCTCAAGGGCATTGAACAGTGTTGTTTGTACACACCTACAGCACAAGTTCTCTGTCTGAAAGGCAACCTCCATGCACTCCAGAGCTGCACAGCCAGGGCAATTACTGGATCTGAAGTTCAAAATCTGGAGGCTTAGTGAGTGGTGTGCTGCCAACAGATCCTGTTGATGATACCCACTCATGATACTGCAATGCTGTGCTGTGCTGACCTGGGCTGTTAGACTACCAGGGTCTTGATAAACTCTTTGCTGGCAGAGTCACCCTCATGGCAGTGCATCCTGCCACGCAATGCCAGCCGGTTGGCGGAGGGGTTGAACGCAGCACACGGGATGTGCAGGCGGTCGGCAGAGTGGTGTTGCATGCCCTGGTATCGACCCATCTGAGTCACCCTCATGGCAGTGCATCCTGCCACGTAATGCCAGCCGGTTGGCGGGGGGGTTGAACGCAGCACACGGGATGCGCAGGCGGCCGGCAGAGTGGTGTTGCATGCCCTGGTATTGACCCATCGTTACTGGGATCTTCACGTAGGGAAGTGGTCTCCCGAAGCTCCTTTCTCTGTCATTCTTCACCCTAGTGCCCATAGCCGGTGTTGGCTGCGTTGAGCAGCGGGGTGCAGCCCCAGGCAGCAGGGAGGGAGGATGCAGTGCCTCGTTGAGGGAAGGGCTCCATGCCAATGCATGGGGCTGAGCTGAGCATGCTGTCAGCACAGCGATAGCCTGGAGCCAGCTACAGCAAAGGGCTGCCTAGGACCATGGGGCTGTGGAAAGCTACTAGTAAAGATACAATTTTAAAGTAAAAGCAAGTTTCAGCACTTTGCTGCTCCTGGAAGAGGTACTTGTCTTCCTAATAGAACTGTTCCCATGTCAGAAAGTTGCTTCTTTTAAAGCCACGTTTAGTGTAAGGGGAATATTCCTGTCAGTGCTTCAGTTGCACTTGGTTGAAGACACCATCTGCTGCGACGCTCGGCCAGCTTGGCATTTAAAATGTCATTTAGGCCAGAAAGCAACTGAGCGTGGATACTGAGACAGATGTCATCAACAAAGGTGAACTTCATAAGTGAATGAGGTTGCTGATAAAAGGACTGAATTGCAGAAGCATTTACAGAGAGCCCTGTGGAAGAGCGCTGATTTTTCTGCATATGCTTTATTTCCATATATTCCATATATGCCTTATGCAATCTGCCTTGGAGAAGCAATGTTTAAGAGGTATCGGTGAAATTCGGCATTTTAAATCCAGCACTTGTGGTTCCTGTTGATTAAAGTGGAACAAGCAAGGTTTCTGTCCTCTTCAGAAGACAGATTGATGCTATTTTCCAAACCAAGCTACTGAGTCCTAGGCTTGCTTCAGCCCAGTGGGGCAGGAGGACAAGCCTTCTGTGGAGTACTGCTGCACAGCAAGCTGTTCAAAACTGTTTCCTCCCTCAACGTTTCTGTTCCAGCTGACAACAAAAGGACAAGCCAGCTCTGAGGCCTCTTTCTTCAGCATAGGAGGTGTAGGAAGAGTTACAGCATCCCTGTCTGTCCCCTAAAGAGAGGGGCTCATTCCCAACTGTACCTCCTCACACAATTAGGTTGCAATCCAAAAAACCCACAGAACAAAGAAGGAAGAGGAATGAAATAGGTAGGAAATGCATTAAAAATAAGCAGAGGCTAAAACTAACAGAGGTAATTGCTCTACCCAGGTTTGTGACCTTAGGGCACGTACAGATGAGTGTTAGTAATGAAGCTCTTGAGTAGCGCTCGAGGAAACTTGGTTCTTAAGGTCAAATAATCTATCAAGACAGAAATGTTGAGAGAGTCCTTCCCACCTACACTGCTCAGTATGGCTCAAATTGCTTTTCAGCTGCGCTCGGTGCTTTTGTTGACTTAAAGTAAATTAAACATTATCCTTTTCTAATTAGATGGATTAGGAGATCGCAGTAAGTGCTACTTCCTACTATTTTAAAGACTAGAACTAGTTTAAAGCAATTAAAGCTAAACCCCCCACCTTTAAATAATTAATTAATACGGAAATCTACTTAATAAGGAAGCAACTGGGGTTAAGTGACCCAGTCTGGTGGGGATGAGAAGGAAAAGAAGCCAGCACAGAGCCAGCAGTGCAGCTGCTGGGTGGCTGTTAGGGAGCGAAGCAGGTTTTTTCTTCTTGACAAGCAATTGCAAGTATCTATTGAAAACCCTGTAAGTCATCTTTAACAATGATTTTTGTACCAGTGTATTGGGTGTAATTGCCAAGGCGCTGGCAGTGGGGAGGCTGCAAGGGGCCTCTGTGAGGAGAGGCAGGGGCTGCCCCAGGCCAGACACAGTCGGTTCCAGCCGGGTCCAACTGACCCCCTGCAGGGCACAGCTGAGCCCTCAGCTGGGATGGTGGCACCTCAGGGAGAGCATTTAAAGAAGGACAAAGACATTGCACAGGCAGAGGAGAAGGGGAAAAGAAGTGTGCAGCAGCCATGCGAACACCAGGGTGAGAGCAGGAGGAGGGTGAGAAGGTGCTGCAGGTGCTGAAGCAGAGATGCCCAGCAGCCCCAGGAGCTCACACCAGTGCAGGGAGGTACTTCCCGACAAGAACCGCAGCCCCTGGAGAGCCCACACCAGACTGCAGCCTGTGGAGAAGACCCACACTGCAGCTCAAGGAACGCGTGTGGAAGGAACAACAGAGAGGAGCAACAGGTTATGGACTGACCACAAGCCTTGTTCCCCAGTGCTGCCATGGGAGGAGGTAGAGGAGTCAGGAATGAAGGTGTGAAGTTGAGCCTGGGAAGAAGTGGAGGGGATGGGTGGCGTTTTACAGTTTTTGCCTGTTTCTCACTATGCAAATCTATTTTATTGGCAATAAAGTCAAGTCTCTCTTGGCCACAATGCTAACTGGCAAGCAGTCTCCCCATCTTTATCTCAACCCCTGAGCATCCTGTTTTCTCCCCCATCCAGCTGAGGTGGTGGGGTGAGTGAAGGGCTGGGTAAGCATCCCACCACTGTCAGTTATCTACAGACTAGGTCATCAGATACAGGAAGCCTTGCGGAGATGGCAGCTCTGCTAAAAAATGTTATCAATCAGGCTGGAGTAAGAATCAACCTGCAAGACACAGAAAAAAGCCACAGCCCCAACCAACTCTCTTTCAAATTTCAAATTTTTGAGAATAGGTTCTGGCACATTTTACTTCTCTACCTCCCAAAAAAGTGTGTACTCTCAAGCTTCCAAAGACCTTTAAAGTCTTGCAACAACAGGGCAAACAGCCCTTCCCAAACCCTTGTGAGAACATCTGCTAATGGATCTCAGTAACACAGAAGCAATAAAAACGATTTTTGTGACAGGGGGCCCTCTGCTTATGGCTGAGCTCCCTTAGGGGGTGAGGTGTCACTTGATTACTGCAGCCTTCCAAGTTTGATATTATGTATCATACCATACTGTAACACAGCAATGCATGCCTACTCATGCACAAAGAATTTATTAATAAAAACTATAATCCTTGATTGGCCTTATTATTCTAACTTGTCTTACAAATATTTAGAAATGGCTTCCTAGAATAGTAGACAAATAGTACATTATTTGCCATGCAGAGACTATAATAGGATAATGTTAAAGATGAAAATCTTGTATTTCAAATTAATATCTGTATTCTATTGAATGGTACAAATGTGAGAAGTGATTGGCACAGGAATGGTTATCATGCTAAAAAGAGTATGAGAGCCGCTTATGTGAAGGCAAGAGCCACTGACAATATGAAAAATAGCCCAGTATCTTGGTAAGATTAAGACTTGTCATGTATTCTGTCCCCTACCTCTTCCCAATGTTTTCTCAATTGTTGTCTCCCCCAATTCAATTAACTAACCTACAGCTGTTATAGGAGGCTTTTATTTTGAACAAAACCAGTGAAAATACGATTTACACTGAAAGCCAAAGCTGAGGCAGGTCACATTTTCTGTTGTTATTTGCTGGCAGTTGTAGGTGGGATCCACTCTTGTATCTTCTTGCGAGTAGTAGAGTAAGGTACGTACTGCCCGGGAGTGCCACTCAGATTGAATTTATGGTTCTCCCAGATAAATTTACGAGCAACGGGTGGATGAGTAGTTGGAGGGTCATCTGTCATACAGTGAAGCCAGCGATGCCTTAGGAGGAAAAAGACACACTGTTATTAAGGAGCATTACATGGTCTGTAACAAGCCTGCCTCCTGATGCCGAAGGGTCCTCCTCCGAAGAGGCACTAAGTATTTATTTTGAGGGGGTATAACTTTGACTGAGACCACAGGATACTGATTTCAAGTAATTACAAACATAACTGATAAATAATAGTTCTGCTTCCAACCAACCAAAAGCACACCCGAGTTTGAGTTTCCTGTTCCTTTATACAGGCAGAATTTGGGCATGGAGCATCTCGTTGTTACGTGTGTGTGACCTTACCCAGCCCGGCAGGTCAAGGCAGGCACAACAAATAACAAAACCACAAGGTTTTGGTTTGTTATCTGGGTTTTTGTTCAGGGTGGATTTTATTTTTTTTTTAATTACCAGAAGACTACACTGCACAATAATTTCAACACCATCTCCAAGGCATTCTAGAGACTACAACTCAGATTAATGATGCAGGTTCACCTAAACCAATCACACAAATGTTTACTGACTACACAATAAAATGATTAATACCAATCAGTTAATGAGGTAATTACCAAGTGATTATAGTGATTAGACTTTATCTATGAACTAAATGTCAATCTTCCCCTGTGCAAATGACATCAATGATCAACAAAGTATTTTCCATAACAATTTACTGAAACACTACAGCAGGGATCAACTGAATTGACTTCATCCCATATTTCTGGGCGTGCCCAAAGCAACTTTCAAACCTGAATAACATTTTTTTTAGCTGCCAGCATACACGTACTTCATACTGTATGCATGCACAGTTGTGACAGAAGTAAGGTTATGACTTTTTTTGCAAGCTTATATATTTTTTACTGAGGTGGAATTAAAGAGGCTTCTGCTAATCACCTTTTGCCAAAGACCTGACCTAAAATAAGAAGTCTTCTATTCCAGTTGTTATTAGAAAGCATAAAAATTGCATCTTTAGCCTTTAGCAACAAATTCGGCATGCTTCATTGATACAGCAAAACAAAACCACAATAAAAGTAGTGAGAAATAGATACATGTGTTTGACTGACAAGTATATTCCAAATCTGAAGAGCTCTACAGGAGGCTGATTATCTTTTCAGTCAAATAGCTTCTAGACATTTATTTCAGAGAAAGAAAAACTCACAAATTTGGATATAATTTTAGTACAAAATCTCACTTAAAAATGTCAGCCACATGTTGATTTTCTATAAGGAAAAAATAAACAAAAACCCCAAACAAAAGCTATACATTGTAGGACTAAGGACTGCCAGGAAACTGGCTTGAATACCAAACCAGATAGAGCCGTAAGATCCTTTAAAAGTAGGAAGAAAAAGCTTGTTTAGAGGTAAAGAATGGCCTCCTACAGGAAGTCAGCTACTTAGGAATTTGAAAGTCATACACATGTTCAGATGAAGTGACCCAATGCAACATGGATGGGAGGGGGATCCCTCTCTCCTCCCCCCTTTGTAGATCTGGTACCATTTGAAGTATACATTTCCCACTACTTCTATTAAAAAAGAAGATTTTGGGTAATGATTTCTGCTCAGAAGAAGGCAGCCCCATAGTATTACTAACCATGCTGTTGTCTGAGGATGCATGATCAGGCCTTGTTTGATTTTAAACCTGGTATTACCAGTGTCTGAAATGCCCCAGCCACATTACAGAAAGCTCTGACCTTAGGTGAACTCACTCTCCCAATTCACATCCGTTAGAATTCTGTGTACTCCTAGAGGGCTTCACGTACCTGAGGTATCTCATCCTATGACAGCTGGCATCAAAGCTGGCAGAAACACTGGAAAACAGCTAACGTGACGGAGGTGGGATTGCATGCTCATACCCAACAAGCCAGCTCTCCATTGCTAACACAAAACCCCCCAGTTTGTGGCATAGGGGGAAGGAGAAAGAACAGTGCATGGGCCCATACATGTTCTGCCAACACTGACTTAAGTACCGCATTTCCAAACGCTTCGTAGAATCACTCCAGAGCAGCCTCAGCTTTTCAAACCCACTTATCATACACACAGAGACAACTCAAACTCACACACCTTCCTTCACCTAGTGATGCTTCTGGTAATAGTGGGTAGGGATCCTGCAACAAACAAAACCCTATTTATGCACCTGTCACCATGCCTCACCGTCCTCCCGCTCCCCTGAGAGCCGTGCACACCAATAGGGCAAAAAACAAGTTGTTTTCTCAGACAGAAATGCAGTTGCAAAGGCCTCCAAAGACAGGCTGCAGCAGGTGGAGCACAAGAACTCTATTAAAGCTCAGTCAAAAATCAACTACATTTCAAGCTTGCTTACTTACACTGTACACACACTCCTTGAAACATCAGAAGAATTATCACAATATTGACTTACTTACTCATTTAACTTGAAAGACAGAAAACAGAATAGTTTTATTCTGTCATTTAAACTACTGCTTTGCAGCTTTTCTATGACTAAATCCCTGAAGTCTTTTAAAAAAAAGAGTATTTTGGAGTAATTAATATATTTGCTTTCAGGATTTTCTGAAGTTCTATAAAATCAATATGAAATCAGGCTTAAATTTAAATAGATCAGCAAAACCAATCCTTAAATCTTATTTTCTCATTGGAAAGTAGAAATAAAATTCCTCATCTACGAGACATGCCGGTAGTCACAGGTACTGAAATACCTGAAGAGATTTCAAAAATCCGTTTAGAACTCCATCCACTATTAAGTACCCTTCTATTTAAGAGTTTCAGGGCTTAAGCCTTGGCACAACAGATTCCCACTAGAAGCCCAACATGTGACTTCTAGAAGCATTTTGGTTTGCAGGGAGTGTTCTCCCAAACAAAAGCTCCCACTCTCCACTTATGCAAAATACGTAAAATCTAAGAACTTTATTTTGGGAAGACTTTCCCCTTGACAACCTCCCTCAAAGAGTCCTTTGAAGCCTGACGTCTCATAGACTCGACTCCCAGATGCTCAAGAAAAGCTTTTCATGCTCTAGACTGAAGAGCATAAATAAAGAGATTTGACGTCTTGCAGATGGCCAGATTTCTATACAAACTCTGCCTATAAATCCAAATCCAGGCACAGAAAAACAGGATTCAAAAGCAACTGATGACTTTAAAGATAAGGGGACAACTTGCACAGAGCAAAGAAAATCAGGAGGATAGCAGAAGCTCTGAAGAGGCTGAAACAGCTTTCTGAATCACAAAGCAGAGTCATTACCAAGCAGACCGAGACTAGGGAAGCCTCTGGACTTTTCCTTGGGTAAACAGATGAAAGATGGCTGAAAGCACCTTCACATGCTCTCAAGAATATGTAGAATTTTCTCCCAGGTCTTAGACAAATATTTAAAAGCAAGGACATTTCAAACTGAAGCTACAAGGGACTGGAGCCAATTCCATGATGGACGAGCTGTCAAACAAGGACCGTTGCTACACAAACTCCGCAGCTACTACCATATGTGCATCTGCAAGGTTCAGGCACCATCTACCTAAGTTCAGGATGTTTGCCAACTTGCTAGCATTCATTTTTTTCAACAAGTTAACCATGTTGCAATAAGACTAAAGTGACTATAACACACACATCTTCAAAGGGCGAGAAGTATTTCAGTGCTTTCCCCAAGTACTTTAAGTGAACGTGAAATCATGGATTTAACTTTGATTAGCATAAAAAGATGTTTTTATTTTAAAGGTAAGTCTTCACTTACTATTCCAGGCCCATGTATGGGAAGAGAAGGAAAAAAGGACAAGAAACTCATTTTTACTTGTGTACGCATGGGACATAACTCTGATTTCTCATGCAAGCTACTATAAAATCCCATTACATAGTAATGAGACAACATCTCATTCACCCGAAAACACCACACCAGCTTTTAATCTAGTTACGAAATCTATTGTGAAGCCACTGAAAGGACAGAAATTTTAATCCCCCATTCCTTTTCAGTTCAATCTTTTTGTTTTGTTTTCCCTCACAGACAGACTTTAGAAGCAGCAGTTTTCAGAAACACAGAACTGCCTAGATCGGAAAAGACCTTTCAGATCATCGAGTCAAATCCTTAACCTCACACTGACAAGTCCTTGACTAAACCATGTCCCTAAGCACTATGTTTAGACAACTCTTAAATACTTCCAAGGATGGGGACTCCACCACTGCCCTGAGCAACCCATTCCAATGCCTGAGAGCCCTTTCAGTAAAGAAATTCTTCCTAATATCCAATCTAAACTTTACAGAAGAATAGCACATTTCTTTATATTTCTTAGTATGTTGGCACTTAAATTATTTTTAACTAGTTTGTATACATGAACTAGTTGTCAATTTGTTCTTGCAAAGTATTTGGCCAAAACACAAACCAAATTATATTAAACCAGATAAATGGTAAAGGAGCAGTGGGCAGACAGCCACAAAATGCTCTGAATGTGATGCAAGAGAAGCACACCTCTGGCACCCAGCAGGATATTAGGCCTTGACTTGCATGGACTTAATATGCTCTCAAAAGGAAGCCTTACTCCACAGCATAACCTTGTTGAAAGTAGAAAACTGAGTTTCAAGGTGTCCCCTTCTCGGGGGCTCAAGCTGAACCTCCCAGAATCTTTCAAATGCAAATTTGGTTCTTCCAAATTTCAGGTACAGGAGCATGCTGACAGGATACTCCTATCAGGACAGGAGCCCATGGCAGGAGTAAGCAGACGCAAAGGGAACTTTTGCATGAGATGTGAACATAACTTGAAAATCAAGGCTGGTAATAGGAAATTTTAGGGGAAAAAAAAGCTACTCTCTCCTCTGATCCCAAACAGACTAAGGACAGTAAGATACTCAGTCTCCTCGCCTCACTTTATTTCAGTGGAAATAACTGACAAATACTCAGATGTGAGGATCAAAGAATGAAGAAATACAAGTCTGGAAGGGATTCAGACACTCTGCACATGCTTCAGACCCAAGCAAGCGTCAGCTACATCCACGCCACTCCCAGAGACAACTACTTCAGTTGTTACGGAACTGCTGCAATACTGTCTTGCTCATCTTCCCAAACCAAGTTATGCCAGTGAGGAGGAGGAGAATTTTTTAGTGGTAAGGATTCCTCTGTAATTTAAACCTGCTTCCTATGCTATCCATCTATCTGTGGAAGATGGACTTTTTGCCTTTTTCTTCCGCAAGAGATTAAATGCTTCAAGATTATACCCATGGTTATTTCCTCTCCTTTTTAAGCAACTTCAAATCTTTCCAACTGTCCTCAGAGGTCTGATTGCTCCTGCTGCACTTCCTGAGGCTTCTTCCACTGGTCAAGAGCTACGCCCTATCGAAGTCTTCCTGGCAATAAGCAGAAAGGAAGAGTCACTTTGTGTGAGTGCAGGGAGCAATTCTTTCTACTCCTCAGGAAGGCACACTTCTTTCTCATCAGTATGATAACGTGGTTTTACTCAACCTGCCATCCCTATAAAACCCAGATCATCCTGTAGCACTGCTAGTTGCTCTCCTCCTGCACATCATAAAGAGGCTGCTGGTGCCAGAAGAGCAGGGTCCTGCCCTCCGTCTCTACACTCAGCCATATGATTTCTCTCCTCCTCTTCCTCTTGGGACTGCGAAGTGAGACAATGCAACTTACCATGGTGTCAAACTTAAGAGTGCAGATAATCTGCAGCTGGTAATAACATTCTACTTGATTCATCTATCTATATTTTACACCCCTAATATTTCACTTCTCTGTTCAGCCTTTCATTAAGGGAGGAAAAAAGCTAACACTGCTTTAAGCACACTTCCTTACCAACAAACCTGCCCAGAACATTTCACCCAGACCTCAGCTTGCCAGTGATCCAAATCTGTTTCTACCATGGGTGGGCGGAGAGAACTATAACCCCTATAGCCCTTACCCTAGGAAGAGAGCAAACTGTATTATTATCAAGAAGCGCATGTTCAACATAGCAAGTTTTTACTATGAAAACTCTTTGCCTGTGAAAATACTTTTGGTACCCAGACTAGTACTTACAAGCTGCTCAGGGACTCCAAAGGAGTCACGTGTTTCTCTTAACATTTTCTTCCCTGGAACCTTTCGAAAGCTTTTCTACAGAGCCAAAAATATAATATATTAAATCTGAAAATCAATTTATCTGTACCATCTTCCTGCTTGGTTTTTGATTTTTGTTTTGAGTAAACATAAAAAAGTTTTGCTTGTAATGAGTGCATCTGTGCACAAGTTGTGACTACGTGGGAATGCGAGTGCGTGCATGAAGCAGCACATGCCAGTTGTGTAAAACAGCATCACTTGCTGCTCCTGGAGATGATTTTCTAACTGTAGTAATTTTAGGGTGGGAGATAAATGAATGAGGAACAAAAGGTGATATGGGCCTTTGTCCTGGTTTTGCTAGGATAGAGTTAATTTTCTTCTCAGTAGTTGGAAGAGCTGTGTTTTGGTTTCAGTTCAGACTTGTTATGGAAAGAATGTTGATAAAGCACTAATGTTATTAGTTGCTGCTGGAGCTCAAGGCCACCATGTTTGGCTGTTCACAGCTGCATTAGGACTGGGAGGGAGAAGAGCAGTGAATAGCAAAGCCCAGAACTGGCATTTGGATGTGCCAGTGAGATATTCCATATCATATCCCGTCATGTCAGTATATTAACCAGGGCTGATCAGAAATCAGGGGTATGCTCTCGGGGATCTCTCGGGCTCGCTCTTCCAGGGTTTTGGTTTCGGGACTGTCTGGGCTCTGGGATCGCTGGCTGGCACGAGCTGGGCATCAGTCGGTGGGCGATGAGCAATTGCACTGTGCATCACTCATTTGTATATTCTGTTATCACTGTTGTTATCATTAACATTTTATTTTAATTAGTAAATAGTTTTTACCTCAACCTATGAGTCTTGTTGGCCTTTTCTTTCCAATTCTCTCCCCTACTCCCTGGTGGGGGTGTGGGGGGGAAGTGAGAGAGCAGGCAGGGTGAAACCACTACAGCCTTCTGAAATGGAGTCAAATGGAAATAAGCTCAATACACAGCCCAATGATTAGAACATTCTGTAATGGAGACGTCTATGAAAGCACTAGACAGAGTGCACAGAGGCACTGGTATAAACAGATTTAACTTTCCTCATTTATATGTTCAAAGAGCACACCCTGTCAGCATGCTAAAAAACAGAAGTACTAAGTTTCTGCAAACAACACGCTCTGAACAGTAGCAGACAAAACAAGCAGTTTGGCTTTCATCACCATCTAACAGTGTAAAAGATGTTTTTGTAAAGAAAAAAAAAAGTGCCCAGTATCTTGTATGGCATTACAAGATTAATACTAATAATTTCCAAAGAAAGTATTTAGGGAACTTAAAAAAGTAGATCTTTATTTTGAAGATAAGAAAACCCTGAGTAACAAAGGGGTTAAACAACACAACTAAATCAGAATAGACCACAAGGTTACATTCTAAAAATGCAACAGTCTCAATCCCCTGTCTAGTAGACATATGTCAAAACAACTCTCTTGATTTCCTTCAGACTGTGATTTCAGTACATCCGTTGTCAAAAGACATTACATCAATTATTTCAGAATACTGAAAATATTCAGTAGTTCCTAAATATGGTGCTACAATATGTTATTGCATATGAGAAGTTTTTTTCTTGCTGCTTTTTCCTTTTCTCCAGTATCTGACAGAAGGTAAAGGGTAGCTAAATTAATTCCCATTTTATTTTTTCAAGACAGTTGTTTTCAGAAGTTTTCAATATACCAATATGTTTTTTTCCAGTTCACCATGCATGAAATGCAAGGTCCACCTGACTGTATTTCAACAATCATTCCTATTCCACAAACCTGAAGGCACATGACTGACCACAGAATTATACTTTTAAGATGCAGAGTGCACTCAACAACCAGAAACATGGGGAAAAACAACTTGTAGTGTGACTTACACTGAAGAAGGAAAAAAAAAAAAGGAAGAAAGTGTTTTTCCTGCACATCTGCTAGTGTTCTCTTGTACTTCCCAAGTAAATAGTTTAATCAGTAGGATAATCAGTAGTGTAATCCTATGTACAGCAGGATTTTTAGAAGAGTAGTAAAAAACCATTACAAACTAGTTAGCATTCCTATTAACACAGCAAAATCTGAAATTTCTAGGTTAGCCCTGGTCTTAAACCTTGATTTTGTTAAAAGTGTCATCTTTGGGCATGACAGTTGCAAAATATTTTCTGAAAGTAATACCAACATAAACAATGTAGGAAAACCTGAGCAACAAAAAACCCCTGAAAACTGAACAGTACTGCACAACTAAATTTCCTGACAAAAATACCTGAGAACACAGAACTGTTTACCCTTTCGTGCCCCACTGCACCGACTGGTCTTGAAAATAATGAAACATTTACTGTTTTAGGGGAATTTTTTCCACACTTACAGAAAAGCAAGTTTTCTACCTCTCTATTTCATGTGATCTAAAAAGCTACTTAATCCTAGAAATGTCACCTTATACTCGGGAAGAAACCCTTTATCGAGGTTTGTAAGGACACAATAAACATAAGCACGAGCAAAGAGAAAAACAAAACAAAAACTGTGCCTCAAAATAAGCAAAATCTTGAAAAGCAGCACAGTCTAATAGTGAAAGGATAAAAACTAGAACCAAACAACAGTTATTATGCAGCTAACAAGGAACACCCCTGCACTGGCAGGAACATGCTAGTTTCGGAGATTCTAATGTCACTTCTGAAAAACAATGCCATTAAGCTCTTACCAGAGAAGACAGAAAAAAGCATTAACTGCATTAAATGTAATTTTAAGGCTGGAAGAATTTGAAACAAAATTGACTACCTAGACAGTCTAACCACACATTTCTGAAATGTCTCTCTGATGAGAGACACAGTTTAGGTGTTTAGATAATCAGTCTCAGCCTTGGCACGGAACATCTACCACAGGAATAATAAAAACCAGAGTTCACCAATGCTCAGTCTACCCCAGCACCACCACTTACTGCATATCACCCTTCACTGCTTTGTGGCTGAAGCGCTATCCATATTCCTCAAGAATCGGGTAAAGACTGTTTTTGCTAGCACACACTGTTACTTTATTTGGTATGTGTTTTTCCAGAGTTACTCCGGAAGACAAAAAAAAGTATTAACAGCTGTGTGGCCAGAGACCTTCTGGAACTCAAGGTTGTAAAGAATTATTTCTGAAATGCATGAACACAAAATAAAACCTTGAGAAAAACAATAGTCAAGTAGCATCCTGGCCCTTTGCTGTTCATCATTTGTAGAGTACCAATGCAGAGCAACTGAAACTACTATGCTGTTAATGGCTGTGGATTAAGGAATGTTGTTCTATCATTGCCTTACATACTGTAGGTTCTTGTAGAACTTAAATGGTTCTAGAAGAACCTAAATCTAAAATGGATAATAAAAATATTTTTTCTACCTCTGCTCAATGCTGTTGTAGGCTTTGCCAAAGCATTAAGATGGAATCACAACCAATAAGGAAAACTGGAAGAGTGGCTTGACCTGTTCAATCTGGCTGGCAAAGTGCTTTTCTCATTACAAGAAGAAATAAGTGCTACAGTCAGGACAGTGAGCAATAACACATTACAAATGCAGTTCAAAATTAAAAGTAACCAGTCTGAAATCTTCTGGTCATATATAAGATAGATGCATCCATGCAAACTTTATTACCATAAAATTTGTGGGTCTTTTTTTAATCTTCTGCTTTGTAATACAAGAAAATATACAAGCAATTACACAATTGGTATCTCTCCACATTATTAAGTTAAACGGTTTACCATTCAGGGGGCACCATACTTCCATCAACTTCCCAAAACGTGTTTTTGCCATTCATTTCATTAGTATAGATGACCCATCTGTGTCGACCTTAATTAAGCAAACAAAAATCTTGTATTAGCTCAAGAAAACAAGTTATTTTCATATAAAGGAGAGAATTCATGAAAACACAAGGAAAAGTATTTTGACTAAAAGTATCTAGCATCATGGACACTCATTTCAAAGTCAGTGCACCTTTTATTTTTCTAAGTCTTATCTATTTCCACTCTTTCAGTATTTTTATATGACTGAATCTAGAACTCTCATGAGGAAGCAAGCACTTATAAAATCTTCAGGCAGAGAAAGAGGTTTGTTTATGTGTCTCCCCCATCCAATTAGAAGAAGTCTTTTCCAAAAGGACATTGCCATTAGTAACCCAAGATGGAAGTTCCAGCCATATAAAACTACCAAGCAATGTTTACCAGCAACTCTGCTTTCCCCAGGTACCCTAAAGGTTAGCCCACAGCAGGCAGAGCTTGGCCTAACACTGTGTCAGTTGCTTACCTATCACCTTAATGGTTTTAGGTGCTACATTCTTAAGTACTTTACAAATGTTATTTAAAAACCCACTACTTAAGGTACCAGGAAGTTTACACTAACCTGTTTTCCTTTGGCCTGAAGTGATCATATAACTAAGTACAGCTGTGAAGGAGTTTTAAAGGCAGTTCTCTTTCTTCCCCTCCACCTGCTCAGCTACCAGCTTTTCGGTCAAGAACCAAACTAAGCTCTCAGTCACATTATCATACAGACATCCCTACATGGAGAGCAACTGACTGGCTTAGATTTATCCCGTATTTACTACATCACACTGACTAAGTTTGCAAATGAACTGAGGGAAGCAGCAGAGGGACAGAAGACGTCAAAGCATTTCTAAGAGCCCCCTCTCGAAGACTCACATAAGTCAAGTTCAAGAAAGTCGTGCAGGCAGCAAGTTCTACTTCACTAGCAGAACCTACACCATCGGTACAGAACGTTGGACAGTCAGTCAGGAGGTGTTCCCATTACCTCACATACCAAAGAAGTTTCTTTTGTCTTCATAGTATTTGTTTCCGTATTTGTCAGTTCCTACCAGCGCACCAGTCTTCAAGTCATTGACCCTGTGAATTCGCAAAACAACAGTTTCAACTGACATCATCTCAGAATGAAGCTGTGACGGAGCTCAGCGCCGAGGAACCGCTAAGGTGCCTAAGGAAGGGAAAACAACCGCCGGAGCCTGCCTGGGGAACGCTTTGACCGCGGCATCCGCTGCCGACC